TGCCAAAAACTAAATTTAATTTGTATTTAATATTCAATTCGATTGATTCATGTTTATTATTATAAACATCTAAGCCTAGCAACAACAACAGATCAATCGACAGAGAGGAAACTTAGATATACACACCGTATATTCTATTTATGTCTAATAAACAAAGGAACATCAACGTATCTCTAATTCATGTAACTCGAATCTGTTTTGAATAATGCTTTACGCTCCAGGATATTTCAACAGTGCCCATTCAGATAAACTAAACTTGCATAATGTCTGCATTCATTACATATAGGAGAGTTAAAATAATTAGGAAATTAAGACTCCACAATTTAAAATACAACCAATGAAAATTTATATATTTAGGATTACTTCCAATAAGTAGGTATGAATAAAAGAGTTTCATGCCTGTAAGATTTAAAATCAACGTCTGCAATTCAGTTAATAACGGTTGCAAAGGTAATTATAGGTTGTCAGCCTCAAGTGTGACGCGCACTGGGGGCACTGGGGATGCCGATAAAATTCTTGAGGTAAATTTTATATAAATCTTTAATAACGAGGTGTTGAAAGCTGAAGGAACCGACAAACACGACAAATAGGCATGTTATAAATAACATTTCTTCTTATTACTATAGATTAAAATTTTTATAGCTTTCTGAATATTTTTTTATAAAGCCGTTCGATCTATATTATACTCGTACTTTCATGACTACAAAAGTTTTCAAATACAAAATTTATACCCATACATTTATTAGTATACTTTAATATTTCATTTTTGACAATTCCTCTTTTTGCTTCTTTTGTCCGCTTTATTCTGTAATTTCTTATTGCAAAATTAATGCGTATGATCGTCGCAATACGTGTCCGCACCTCAATTACTTTATGTTTAATTGTTAGTTCGCGTCATATGGACTACGTTTAAATCATAATGAAAAAGAAGTGTAAAATTACGAGTCGTACCGATTTTATGTTAAATCGTCGTATAAATTAATACATTCAACTCATTTGTCATGTTATTACTCATTAAAAATGTATTTAAATACCTTTATTAATGGTCTCGCTAAAAGCGTGTATCTTATTTTGTTAAATAACTTAATTTTAACATTAAATATACTGGTAGGATGAAAAATAGCTCTTAGTTATTTTGTAGACACAAGCTGGAAGCAAAATGCGTAACTATTCGTGCCTTTGATAGCATTCGCTTAAGCAAACCGTCTGACTTTGACAAATTCACCATTTAAAATTAAAATTCATATATTTGATTTACAAAGTACTTATTTACTAACATATTTCGCTCGGCATCGCTTTTAACCGCGAGGCGTCTCTTGACTGAACTTTGTGTAAACCTCCGCAGGTTGTTCAATTCAACGTTTCTGGAGGAAAATCTACACAAATAATAAAATACGGCCTAAGGGAAAAATATGTTGTGAAATTTAAATATAGTAATACTTTAGTCATAACGAAATTACCGGCTG